TCAAGATAGATGAAGATTTTTTTTAAAGTAGAATATTATGACAGTTTGCATTAAGGATACGCTTACTTAAGCTTGCTAACTGTGCTCGTCTGGGCTTGCGTGGTTGGGAATCGTGTTCTAGTGTTTGCGTTTGATTACCGGGGTTGTTTCTGTAAGCACGCCTCATTAAGGCGGCTTTGCTGACAGATTTACTGTATTATTCAATCAATACTACATTTACATAATTATTAGTCAGACTGACATACACCAAGGAATCGACGTCTTTACTCATTTATACATATCGACTACCTTTATATTATCCAATACAGAAAGACGAAATACTAGCAAAAACATCTTTCCAATTCTTCAATTTCTCATTCAGATACTTTCTCTTTCTTCCCCTATCTATGATGTCTACATGTCGTAGTTAATTCGGTACTGGGGAGCTTGCTCCGAATAGCACGACATCAGTGAGAGATGTTAACTGTTGACGGACAAACCTACAAAACAAGATTTCCCAAGACGCAGGTTGATGAAGACTGTGGACAGGCTTTACGGTCGCCATCGTGATCCCGCTGAGAAATATGCAGTTTCTTTGTGTGAGATGAAGGTCGATGCTTTTTATTAGCTCACCTGGTCCGAAGTACCAAGGTGAGCTTATGCCATACCGTGGCGTCCGTCGTCCGTCCGTCAACAATTTCTGAACCACTGATTGGAGTTTAACTAAATTTGACTGGAAGCATCCCTAGGTGGTGGGGATTCAAAATTGTACAAATGGTGGGGCTGACCCCTCAGGGGGCTGAGGGGCTGGGCTAAAAGGGGAAAATTTGGCTTTATTGCTTTAAGTGACTTCTTCTCTGGAACTAAGAGATGGATATCAACCATATTTGACTGGAAGCAACCCGAGGTGGTGGGTATTTAAAATTGTACAAATGGTGGGGCTGACCCCCAGGGGGATGAGGGGCGGGACTAAAAGGGGGCATTTTGGCTTTATTGCTTTAAGCGACTTCTTCTCTGGAACTAAGAGATAGATATCAACCATATTTGACTGGAAGCATCCCAAGGTGGTGGGGATTTAAAATTGTACAAATGGTGGGGCTGACCCCTAGGGGGCTGAGGGGCGGGGCTAAAAGGGGGCAATTTGGCTTTATTGCTTTAAGCGACTTCTTCTCTGGAACTAAGAGATATATATCAACCATTTTTGACTGGAAGCATCCCTAGGTGGTTGAGATTCAGAATTGTACAAATGGTGGGGCTGACCTCCCAGGGGGGCTGAGGGGCGGGGCCAAAAGGGGGCAATTTGGCTATATTGCTACAAACAACTTCTTCTGTAGAACTATGTAATGGATATCAATCATATTTAATCAAAAGCATTTATGAGAGGCAGGGATTCAAAATTGTACAAATGGTGGGGCTGACCCCCAGGGAGCTGAGGGGCGGGGCCAAAAAGGGTTATTTGGCTATATTGCTTTAAGCGACATCTTCTCTGGAACTAAGAGATGTATATCAATCATATTTGACTGGAAGCATCCCTAAGTGGTGGAGATTAAAAATTGTACAAATGGTGGGGCTGAACCCCCAGGGGGCTGAATGCGGGGCCGAAACGGGGCAATTTGGCTATATTGCTATAAACGACTTCTTCTGTAGAACTATGTCATGGATATCGATCATATTTCGTCTGAAGCATTTATGGGAGGCAGGGATTCAAAATTGTAGAAATAGTGGGAATGACCCCCCGGGCTAAGGGGTGGGGCCAAAATAAGTTTTATTACTTGGAAATAGTCGAGATCCCCACCCTATAACCATATATACAATTGTTGAGTATATAGAGAAGAATGCACATTTGCTTCCAGAATGTCCCTAGGGTCTGGCCCCACCCTTTGAGACATAGTCCCTGGGCCATAACTTTAAAACGGTTGAGATCACCACCCCAAAACTATATATACAAATGCTGGTCATAAAGAGACGAATGCAGTCATGATATTAGAATATACCCTGGGGTCTGACCGAACCCCTAGGGACTTAGTTTCTTAGTCACAGCTTTGAAACAGTTGAGATCACAACCCTATAACCATAAATACAATTGCTGAGTATAAAGAGATGAATGCACATATGCTTCCGGGATGGCCTCGGGGACTACCCCTTCCTTGGATACTTAACCTCAAAATGGTTAAGATCCCCACCCAAAAACTATATATACAATTGTTACATGGCATAAAGAGACGAATGCAGTCATGATATTAGAATTGACCCCAGGGTCTGCCCCACCCTTGCAGACTTAACCCCTGGGTCATAACTTTGAAAGGGTTGAGATCTCCACCCCAAAACTATAAATACACATGCTGGGCAAAAAGAGACAAATGCAGTCATGATATTAGAATTGATCATGGGGTCTAGCCAAAACCCTAGGGACCTAGTTGCTGAGTCACAGCTTGGAAACAGTTGAGATACCCACCCCATTACCATACGTAAAATTGCTGGGCATGAAAAATCTAATACAGATATGCTACAAGGATTGGCCTTCGGGCCTTCGCATATTCCCTTGGATCTCATTTGGAAAATATTTTGCCATGATTGCTTAGATATCCAAGTGAGCGATACAGGCCCTCTGGGCCTCTTGTTATGCTCATAATAGTGCCTCGTGGTTTTGTTGTCACTACCCGAGTTCTCGTTGTGAGGATGTGACAGTACTTGTGGTTTTGTTGTCACTACCATGCTCATAATAGTGCCTCGTGGTTTTGTTGTCACTGCCCGAGTTCTCGATGTGAGGATGTGACATTACCTGATTGGACTTTTATTAACATGGCAGCTGTGATCGATGACGCAACAGTCGCCTACCCTTCCGAAACACTCGGTCTTATTTTCCTTGTACTTTCTCCAAGGGTCTCCATGTAAATCTTTCTTATGTTCATATTTACCTTTACTACCCGAGTTCTCGATGTGAGGATGTGTCAGTACTTGTGGTGTTGTTGTCACTACCCGAGTTCTCGATGTGAAGATGTGACAGTACTTGTGATTTTGTTGTCACTACCCAAGTTCTCGATGTGAGGATGTGACAGTACTTGTAGTTTTGTTGTCACTACCCGAGTTCTCGATGCGAGGATGTGACAGTACTTGTGGTTTTGTTGTCCCTACCCGAGTTCTCGATGTGAGGATGAGACAGTACTTGTGGTTTTGTTGTCACTACCGGAGTTCTCGATGTGAGGATGTGACAGTACTTGTGGCTTTGTTGTCACTACCCGAGTTCTCGATGTGGGGATGTGACAGTACTTGTGGTTTTGTTGTCGCTACCCGAGTTCTCGATGTGAGGACGTGACAGTACTTGTGGTTTTGTTGTCACTTCCCGAGTTCTCGATGTGAGGATGTGACAGTTCTTGTGGTTTTGTTGTCACTACCCGAGTTCTAGATGTGAGGATGTGACAGTATTTGTGGTTTTGTTGTCACTACCCGAGTTCTCGTTGTGAGGATGTGACAGTCCTTGTGGTTTTGTTGTCACTACCCGAGTTCTCGATGTGGGGATGTGACAGTACTTGTGGTTTTGTTGTCCCTACCCGAGTTCTCGTTGTGAGGATGTGATAGTACTTGTGGTTTTGTTGTCACTACCCGGGTTCTCGATGTGAGGATGTGACAGTACTTCTGGTTTTGTTGTCACTACCCGAGTTCTCGGTGTGAGGATGTGACAGGACTTGTGGTTTTGTTGTCACTACCCGAGTCCTCGATGTGAGGATGTGACATTACTTGATTGGACTTTTATTAACATGGCAGCTGGTATCGATGACGCAACAGTCGCCTACCCTTCCGAAACACCCGGTCTTATTTTCCTTGTACTTTCTCCAAGGGTCTCCATGTAAATCTTTCTTATGTTCATATTTACCTTTACTACCCGAGTTCTCGATGTGAGGATGTGAGAGTACTTGTGGTTTTGTTGTCACTACCCGAATTCTCGATGTGAGGATGTGACATTACTTGATTGGACTTTTATTAACATGGAAGCTGTTATCGATGACGCAACAGTCGCCTACCCTTCCGAAACACCCGGTCTTATTTTCCTTGTACTTTCTCCAAGGGTCTCCATGTAAATCTTTCTTATGTTCATATTTACCTTTACTACCCGAGTTCTCGATGTGAGGATGTGACGGTACTTGTGGTTTTGTTGTCACTACCCGAGTCCTCGATGTGAGGATGTGACAGTACTTGTGTTTTTGTTGTCACTACCCGAGTTCTCGATGTGATGATGTGACAGTACTTGTGGTTTTGTTGTCCCTACCCGAGTTCTCGATGTGAGGATGAGACAGTACTTGTGGTTTTGTTGTCACTACACGAGTTCTCGATGTGAGGATGTCACATCCTCACTAACCGAGTTCTCGATGTGAGGATGTGACAGTTCTTGTTGTTTTGTTGTCTCTACCCGAGTTCTCGATGTGAGGATGTGATAGTACTTGTGGTTTTGTTGTCACTACCCGGGTTCTCGATGTGAGGATGTGACAGTACTTTTGGTTTTGTTGTCACTACCCGAGTTCTCGTTGTGAGGATGTTACAGTACTTGTTGTTTTGTTGTCACTACCCGAGTTCTCGATGCGAGGATGTGACAGTACTTGTGGTTTTGTTGTCGCTACCCGAGTTCTCGATGTGAGGATGTGATAGTACTTGTGGTTTTGTTGTCACTACCCGAGTCCTCGATGTGAGGATGTGACAGTACTTGTGTTTTTGTTGTCACTACCCGAGTTCTCGATGTGAGGATGTGACATTACTTGATTGGACTTTTATTAACATGGCAGCTGTTATCGATGACGCAACAGTCGCCTACCCTTCCGAAACACCCGGTCTTATTTTCCTTGTACTTTCTCCAAGGGTCTCCATGTAAATCTTTCTTATGTTCATATTTACCTTTGTTTTATCGATTTTTAGTTCGAAATATGGTTTTGTTGACACTTCGTTATTGTCTCGTTGCTTTTTGAACCGGACAGAACAATACAAAGTTGTGAATATTTGCTACTAAGATTCTATTGTTTCTTTAACAGTTATGGTATGGTGGATATAACAGAAACAGCAGAGTATACAGAACAAGGTGAGTTTTGTTACGAGAGATTTTAATACGTGTTTTCGATAACATTCGTCAATATTTCACTATTTGAAATATATATAGCATAATGATCAAATTTTCTAACATCTAATAGTTAATGATCTTTCCATCAATTCTTCTTGTGAAAGAAAAACTAAAATGATAAGTGCCAGAAAAGGAGCTGTCGTAAGATTAACATGAAGTCGTAAGTAGTTGTGGTGGAGCTATCATGTAAACCGTAAATGACACATGTATGTACTGACGAATGAATATTAAGCTCTGACTTCAATGTTAATTGACATTTCTTCTTAAAAGATTTTTTTTCGCTTGTAGAGAGCATTCCTTCCATCGTCCAGCCCATTCCCTTACCGCCGTCTGTGTTGTCATTAAATAAACCGAAACGACGGATGCTACCCAAGACACCGGTACGTAGTAAACGACTATCGCTTACAATACTTTTGAGATACAAATGTGTCATTGTTTAAGGATGTACACCTCTGAGAAGTCAAACATTTCCTATATTAATTTTTTTTCTTATATGGATTTTTGAAAAAAGGAGTTAATGGCATAGTAGAAAATGCAAAAAGAAATATATGACCGTTTGTTCGTTTTTGTGCTATGATCGGTCAAAGGTACCAATTTAACACAACATGTGATTTTAGGTGATTTTTTTAGGTTTTGACCATTTGCAGAACAAATTCATACAATTTCTTCCGAGTGTGTTATCAGATATGTATGAATGTTTGTAGAATTGATGAAAATATTATTTTCTTTTAAATTAAGTCAGTAAAATTTCTTAATCGTATTCTTTTAACACAGAAAGCCGATTTTAGTTACCCCTACTCCCTTATTTTTTTATGAAAAAATACTTGTTTTTTTTAACATTTTTTTGCAGATTAAACGCTTGATATAAATTGTTCTGCTATTAAACTTTTTTAATATATAACGAATTATAAGAAAATGTGTTTGTATAACATCCACAAAAATGGGGGGTCGGTGTGCTTCTTTTTTTGTCCCATTATCATTTGTGTTATTTTTGACCGTTTACGGGGTCAAAAATAAAAAATGCTTCGGTTACACTAAATATGCAAAACAATATCAATAATGGATAATTTTCCAGTTTGTTGCATATTATTTTTATCATATTAAATATTATTAAGTTGTTCAGCAAAATTGAACCTGCTACAACTAAAAATGGCGACACAATGATAATTTAAGTGATCAATCTAGTGTCAAAAAAGGTGAAATTTTGGCCTTTTTTGAAACGCAAGAAATACACATTAATACACTTTTTCAAAATGGCTGCCGAATTGATTTTTTTTTAATTCTTGTAAGAAAACGTTCTACAAACAACAGGCATCTAGTTTTTTGACATATTTTTTCAGATGCGTGTTTGCTAATAAACTTGATCATAATTTGTTTAATATTACAAAAACCCGTTACACCAGATCAAAACGAGACTTGAACGTGACTGAAACCTCAGAAGAGTACATCCTTAAATAACATGATGTTGCGGTTGTATAAGATATATATTTGACGAGTGTTGTGTTTGATGCAAAATACTTAAGCACAGTTCTTTGCTGTATATGTGATCATTTCATGTTATTTTACAATAGGTCTCTGACTGACAGCTCATTACTTGAAACCAATACTGTCACATTAAAATTAGTTGATGAACTGGTAACTTCTGCATAAAACGCAGATGTTTCAATGACACGTACCAAGGTTTCGCGTTTTGCTTCATATTGTGTTCCCGTGTTTTCTGTATTTGTTTTCTCTTTTTCTTGAGAAGATATGGCTGGCCTTTCTGGTAGATTTTTTGTATCGATGTGTATCTCCAGATTGAAATGAAAAAGGACGAACGATTGGTGAGTGGAAAACTACAGATGAGCGTGTCCTACTCAGAGGAAGCAGAGTGTTTGTCGGTGACACTAGTACAGGCAGACGATCTCCGACCTCCCGGGCAGCTTGAGCTGTCCGTCATTAATCCAACAGCACTTGTGCACCTCCTCCCAGGCAGGGGGTAAGTCTTCTTTTACTCAATTGTATTTATACTTCCTTTATCAGTTTATCCAGTATAGAATCACCATCGTTTCGTTCGCTTTTTAGGTCACCTGAGACAAAGACCTATTGCTTTCGCCTATTGTCCGGCGTCGTGCGTCCATAAACAATTTACATTTTCGACTTCTCAAAAACTACGGAACCAATTGTAATGAACTTTTGCAGGAACCTTCCGTGGCAAAAGGTGAACAAAATTTATGAATGATATGGTCCCTCCTCAGGGGCATGAGGGGTGGGGCCAAAAAATGTCAAATTGACTCAAAAATCATCTTCTCTACACCCAGATATGGTAGAATCAAATACTCTTTATGGATGGAAGGGTCTTAAGGCCCATTACCAAAATTGGGAATTTCATGACTGCAGGATCTCACATTTCCTCCTGAGGAGGGGGTAAAGTTTACAATAGTTCATATAGGAAAATGATATTTTCCAGAATGATTTCGTTAGTTATAACCCCCGCACCCGTAATGAAGTTAGGGGGGGGGGTATACTGGAATCAGCTTGTCTGTCCGTCAGAAAAATGTTGTCCGGACAACTGCTTCTAAAGTAATGGACCGATTTCAACGAAACTTTTTAGATATGGTAACTAACACCTGAAGTTGTGCATCCAGGTATTATATTTTCATTCTGACCCTGTTTAACCAAGTTATGGCCCTTTGTTGAAAAATCCTAAACATTTTGTCCGGACAACTCCTTCTAAAGTTATGGATTGATTTCAACGAAACTTTCCAGATATGATAACTACAACCTGATGTTGTGCATCCAGTTATTATTATTTCATTCTGGTCCTTTTTTACGGAGTTAATGCCCTTTGTTGAAAAATGCTTTCCCTCAAAACTTCTCCAAAACTTCTGGGCTAATTTCGATGAAAGTTTCCCATTGGTTAACTACCACCTGATGTTATGCATCCAGGTTTTATTTTTCAATCTGTCCCTTTTTTTTGGAGTAATGGCCCTTTGTTGAAAAATGCTTGTTCTGACAACTCCTCCAAGACTATGCAGCCAACTTCAACGAAACATTTTTGGATATGATAACTACCCCCTTATGTTGTGCATCAAGGTATTTTTTTTCAATCCTTTTTTATGGAATTATGGCCCTTTGTTGAAAAATTCCTGTCCTGACAACTTTTCCTAATCTACTGGTCCGATTTCATTTTTTTTTTTACAGATATGGTAACTGCCCTCTGCCGTTGTGCATCCAAGAAGTACTTTTTCATTCTACTCCTCTAAAACGAATTATGTCCCTTTGATGAATACACCTTTGTCTGCCTCATTACAATACAGATATTGTAATTACCCTCTGATATCGTGCATCAGACTAGTATTTTATTTCATTTCGACCCTTTTTAAGGAGTTATGGTCCTTTGTTGAATATCTTTGTCCTGACATCTTTTCCTTAACTAATAAGACAGTTTTAGCAAAACTGGTTCATCTGTGCTAACAAGATTTGGTATGTAAGTATGTTTTGGCATGGGGAAGGAGTACAGGAAGTATATCAGTGATCAGTACACTTAAATAAGTGTACAGCTCAGTCAATAAATAACTCATTACTGGTGGGAGACAATGGATTGCCTTGCAATGCTTTGCCTTTGTATGTCTTTAGCTTACAGTTCTGGTTTATATAGGAGCGGGGGTATTAGTTAGCCTTTGCCTTACAGTTCTAGTTTCCATTGGAAATCATTCAAACTTGGTCAGAATTATAAGTTTGGGATGGAAAATTGATGTTATGCACATATCAACTGGTGTTCAATTTAGATGATGTAATCAACTCACAATGTTGTTGCGTTTTACTATTTAGTTGTATGTAAGTTATGTTCAGTATAAAAAGTGTAAAGCTTCCAAATGGCAAATTACAATACACAAAAACTCTTCATTGTTGAATTAATATATAAGATATTTGATAGGACAGCTGTTTTCTTTTTAACTAGTAATCTTACTCAAATAAACCAAAATAAAAATCCAACAGCTCGTTCTACTGTAATGAGAATAAAGAAGTGGAAAAATGAGGTACCCCAGCTGGGATCGAGCCCACGACCCCAGGTTCTGGAGGCCAACGCTCTACCACTGAACTAAAGGGACATGTCCTGTCAGCTGACTGACAGAACCACTATTTGTGCATAGTACATATACTACTCAGATCTTTCACACTACTTTTGCATTGCATGTAGTTCAGGTTACCTTTGTTACAAAATGATTTCTTTTTCATTTGGCAACATAGATAACATCAGTTTTTACATAGCTCAGGTGACCGTTAAGGCCCATGGGCCTCTTGTTACGTATACAGAATACTGTCAATAAACTGTTATTCGTATAAAATAGGTCAATCACTGAACAAATCATATAGATTACTGAATTCGGTCAATTACTGAATTTTAGTTGTTGCTAGATGAATATTGTATTAAGTATAGATTCAGCTTCGATTCGTTTGTTTCTTTTTATATGTCAGTTTGTTATTTGATATAGGTGTCGCTCTTAGCATTTTCCGTTGATATTGAAATGATATAATTCTTCATCTGTTCGAAATTTTTGTTCTCTGTCAGTTTCTATCCTCCTTATGAAACGATTCCACAATTCAACACCTCATCACCACGTTGGAAGGAGACATTCAACATACTCGAAATCAGCGCATCTGAGGTATGTTGTGCAGACGCCTAAATATTACGCCAATGGAGACACGGTAGTCTAGTTGTAGGACACCGGGCTCGTAACCGAAGGGTAGTGGGGTCAAGTCACGACACAGCACTGTGTTATATGTTTTATCAAGATACTTTACTCCGCTTGTTCCAGGCTACTCAGCTGTACGCGAGTACGTAGTTGGCTAGTGTTAGAATTGTTGAATGCTAGCTGTGAGCGCTGAAATGGCAACACCGACTGTATGCTCCCAAGGCGGTTCAAAAAGATTTTGGCTGGTTGCGTAGGCCCTATAACCACAGAAAATAATTTGTGAACCGCTTTGAGACGCCCTACGAATGAGGTTGTGATAAAGCGGTATATAAGAACCTCGAATTATTATTATTATTTGTTCATGGTATTGTTTGTTCTGGGGCTTTCAGAGGATAATCAATACATGATCAGTATACAGATCAAAGGAGTTAGAGATAGAGTTGTATTTTTCGTTATTATAAAGTATAAATTTCTAAGAGCTTTTAAACGTGAAAGTTATAAATATATCGTAGCATATTGCCACAATTGTAAGTTGAGAGGGGCTAAGGTGGCTGATTATTTTATCAAATAAAACAGTATAATAAAGATTTCAAAATCAGCAAAGAGGCTGTTGAAAGCATAATGATAAAAATTCTATCAAATGATTAAAAAACACAATCTCCCTTAGGTAAATGACAAGTCTATAGAAATAACGCTGTGGAACAAACAACATGCAGAAAACATGTTCCTGGGGGAAGTGCTTCTAGATCTCGTGGATGCCAACACGACAGATGAGATTATGACGTACGATCTCGAGGATCATGACGAGAACAGCTCACCCCTACCGCGTAGACGAAGGAAGGAATCTGACGTCACAACGACCAGCCAAATAAGTCCCTTGACGCCAACGATAGATACGTCCAGCAATTGGTCAACTAGTCCCAGCCACGTGTCCAATCAAAATTTAAACACTGAAGGCAGACAGAGCGCAGACGAAAGAAATTCGCGGTATTCCCCATTACAAACTAGACATTCACGTAAGAATCAAAACATTCTTCTTCTTAATACTATTGATTTATTTCTCTGACACAAAATTATCTAGAATTATTCATTTGCTTTTATGTATGCTTTTTTCAATTTTGAAATTGATTTTGCTTTTGTTTTACATTTAAAGCATCTACATAACTGTTTCATAAAGACTGCATTATTATTGCACAATAATAATTCTCTAACAATAATGCAAATCACTGAACAATTTCTATTGAATACTGTCAATAAACTGCTATTCCTATTGAATACTGTCAATAAGCTTTTATTCCTATTGAATGCTGTCAATAAGCTGTGATTCCTATTGAATATTGGCAATAAGCTGCTATTCCTATTGAATACTGTCAATAAGCTGTTATTCCTATTGAATGCTGTCAATAAGCTGCTATTCCTATCAAATACTGTCAATAAGCTGCTATTCCGATTGAATAATGTAAAACAGCTGTTCCTATTGAATACTGTCAATAAGCTGCTATTCCTATTGAATACTGTCAATTAGCTGCTATTCCTATTGAATATTGTCAAACACTGAAAAACTCCTATAGAAAACTAAAAATAATGTCCATTAACGAATAATTTCTTCTTAATATTGCCATTTACTTCATAATGCCTATAGGATACAGTTAATTACTTAAAATATAGAATATTGTCAATAAGCCAAAATCTTATAAATAATTTTGTCGATCATTTTATCAATACTTCATATACTGTCAACTACTAAAGTTACTGTCAATTGCTTAATATCCGTGACCATGTTTTAGCGAATTTGTTTTAAACGATATATATAAAAATGAACAAAATTAGGTATTTATTTTTCTTCAGTGCCTAACGACAGTGTTCGCTAAATTCGTGATCCATTTCCTGGCCAATTTGCACGAACATAAATTCCTCATGAAGTAAAAGTGGTTAGCAGAAGTAAGACATCTGTTCCAAATTTATTTCAGGATGTAGTAAGCAAGATAATACAGCTCACCATTCTTAAATTTTTAATGGGTGTATGTATGAGACAAAAAAGATATTCCTATATATCTTATTGTACCTATGTTCTCAATAAACCTGTTTCCTAACCTTGACATTTGTACCGGGAAACCTCCTGCCTTAAACATATCCTGTCCTTCTGAGAAATCGACATTTCATTCTCATCGTTCACAATATAAAAGATAATTAGCTCACTGTGATAAAACTTATACTGATGTTTTCAATTAAATATAAAAATTATATCTATAACTAGTATGGGTAAGTTTAGCTTCGCAAGCTTTCATGTACGTATGTTTAATCCAATTGTAAAATGCTTGATAAAGTTTGTACATAAAGGAAAATTAAAAACTAATTATAAAACCTTCTTCACAACAATATTTTATCATATAATATTATCCTCGGTTTTATCATATATATTTTTATTTAATAACATCATACTTAATCTTGATAAACCTTTATCTTAATACAACATCCTTGAATTTCTCTCGACATCCTAGATGAAAACATCCTTATTGTTCCACAACATCCGTAATTATAACACATCTTTTATTTTATCACAACATTCTTTATTGTACATTTACCACTGCACCCGTTATTTTGTTACAAGATCCGTTATTTAACCACCACATTCTTTTGACGTTTTGTTCACAACATCATTTATTTTATTTCATTATCCTATATTTTATCACAGCATCCTTTATTTTATCACAACATCCTTTATTTTATCACAACATCCGTTATTTTACCACAACATCCTTTATTTTACCACAACATCCAGCATCCTATATTTTATCACAACATCCTTTATTTTATCACAACATTCGTTATTTTACCACAACATCCTTTATTTTACCAAAACATCCAGCATCCTATATTTTATCACAACATCCTTTATTTTGACACAACATCTGTTGTTTTGACAAAACATCTTTTATTTTATCACAACATTCTTTATTGTACATTTACCACTGTATCCGTTATTTTGTTACAAGATCCGTTATTTAACCACCACATTCTTTTGACGTTTTGTTCACAACATCATTTATTTTATTACATTATCCTATATTTTATCACAGCATCCTTTATTTTATCACAGCATCCTTTATTTTATCACAACATCCTTTATTTTATCACAACATCCTTTATTTTATCACAACATCCTTTATTTTATTACATTATCCTTTATTTTATCACAGCATCCTTTATTTTATTACATTATCCTTTATCAAATCACAGCATCCTTTATTTTATCACATCCTTTATTTTATCACAACATCCGTTATTTTACCACAACATCCTTTATTTTACCACAACATCCAGCATACTATATTTTATCACAACATCCTTTATTTTGACACAACATCCGTTATTTTGACAAAACATTCTTTATTTTATCACAACATCCTTTATTTTATCACAACATCCTTTATTTTGACACAACATCCTATATTTTACCACAACATCCTTGATTTTACCAAAACATCCTTTATTTTATCACAACATCCTTTATTTTGACAAAAAATCCGTTATTTTTATACAAGATCCTTTATTCCACCCATTATTCTTTTATTTTAACACGACATCTTTTTCCATCACACTTTATACAAAATATTGTCTTGTGTAATCCTCCCTTTTTTAAGAAGCGCTCACTGATACTACAAAGTAGGATCGATTTATGCATAAAACATTACAATAGTGGAAAAAAGATATCTAAAAAACCACACAATATCATTATTTTTTCTCATTTGTACGACGGAAGTCGTGGACATTCTGTAAGTAATGAAAAGCTTATATCTGTCTACAGGATTTACAATATTGACCAGAAGGCACATCATCCATATAATAAGAGCGTATCGGGGGATCCATAAAAGAAGAGCGTAGCTCTAGGGCGTCGAAGGCGCCCGAGCGAAGCTCTTCAATGTTAACAACTGCGTGCGTAAACAGAATTGCTTCCCCTTAAAAAAAAGTGTCCGGAAGTAGACGTCCAGTGGGGAAGTGTATCCTTGAAGCAAAGACAATTGTGTTTCAACCATACAAGAACATCTTCATATAGTGAAAACAATCTTCATGATTTATAACTTATTTCTTTCAGATAAAAACTAATATAAATTCTGAGTGAAAAAGTATATCATATAAAATGTGATACTAACAGGCATGCAACTTTGTTCAGAGATTATCATACTATGACGTCACAAGCATGCAGGATAAAAAAATAACCGGAAAATCTTTGAACTGATGTCCGGTGCATTTATCTCTTTGTCAGTGCTTCCGGACTATTTTTATTTCAGTTTTTTTCACAGGCACAAAAAGTAAAAATGCGGATATTTTCTGAAGATCCTTTTTGTTATCAACCAGGTTCTGTTAATATGTCTACCGGGAGATCTCTTCAAAAAGAGCGGCATTAAACCGATAGGTCAACGTTTACATTTTTTTTTATCAATTAAAATTTCATCAGTTTTTAATTTCAATTTTTTGAGAATATGAACAAAATTATAAACATTTTTGAAAGTCTGGTTATAGTCTTTATGCAATTTATTTATGCATTTCCACTCATAAAAGAAACAATGGATAATGCATTTACGTCAAATAAACAATAATTTTCCAGACAACCAACCCGAGTTCAAAGCCCTTTTTTAGCAACGTATTACTTTTTCACAACGCGTGCCGATTTATAAATAATAACAGACAGAAAATGTTTAATTTTATTTGGCATCATTACCTGTTAAACCTCGGTGATTTATACAAAATTTGAAATTCAATCCGGTGTTTCATGGTGGAACAGGAATTGAGACTACATATCGATATAACGACAATCTCAGTTACATCAAAGTATCACAATGTTTTTCTTTTTTTCTTTTTCCGTTTTTTTTTAACTAACATCTCTAAGGCACGGTAGTCTAGTGGTAGGACGCCGGGCTCGCGACCGAAGGGTTGCGGGTCCGAGTCACGGCACGGCACTGTGTTGTATCTTTGAGCAAGATACTTACCCCGCTTGTTCCAGTCTCTACTCAGCTGTAAACGAGTACGTGGTTGGGCAGTGCTAGAATTGTTGAATGCTAGCTGTTAGCGCCGAAATAGCAGCTCCGGCTGTATGCTCCCCAAGGAGTTGAGAAAGCTATTGGCTAGTTGCAAAGGCCCTATGACCACGGATAATAATTTGTGAACCGCTTTGAGACGACCTACGAGCTAGGTTGTGATAAAGCGGTATATAAGAATCTCGAATTATTATTATTATTATTATTGTACATTTACTTAGACTACTCGTCAAATATCTGATAAGTACTTTTTTCTATAGCAATGACCAATCAGTTTGTTTTTCCAAACTGATCTCAATCATTCTTTTTTTGCCCTTACGGAGGCACGCAGTGGATTTAATTCTTAATGTAGCATATCCGGGAAAACCCGCGTGGTCTTGAAGGTGACCGGGGTTGAATCCGGCCATCTTAGTTTAAACAGTATTTTATTCAATATATGGCAGTGACAAAATAATACAAAATCTTGGTGAAGACGAGCGCACCATCTACTGCGCCACCCGACCCATCATAAACATTACGCGGAAGAACAAATATCTACATTAGCCTTGAGTGGAAGAAAATGGCGTCATTGATGCAAAAGTTATATTGTGAATACATCTTTATCAATCATCAATGTTACAAAAAATCTACATACGGGAGACCGGGGCAAGTTCGGCCACACCTGATATTTTTGTTTTTGAGCTAATATTTACAATTTTAAGAATCTTAGCAGTTTAGTTGGCTGAGCATTTATACGAAAAACACTTGTTTCAAAAGGTCAGAAAGCGTGAAAAATGTGATCGATAACAATTCTAAATGATACATTATCACAGTTATTCAATTCTGATAAGCAAAAGGACACGAAAATAACTGTGTTTATTAAAATTTCCCCCTGGTCTATCTAGAAATTCTATTGTCGAGTAGATCCAAATAGTTAAAGCGAGAACATAAATGACAGGAAACAAGAATGAGCATGGTTATCCAAATCATCACATACATTTTGAGGTGGAGGTTATTTATATCTAATTTGTGTATTACTTTCCGTTTCAATGTACTGCTTTTCGGTTCATTTCGATTTTTTTCTCTCGTATACCCTTCATTTGCTTTACTTTCGTATGCGCTATATCGACTACGCATGCTCTGGTATTGGGTTCATTTCATTCTTCTCTCCGAAACCCCTTATTTGTGTTACTTTGTTGTGCGTTATATCAGCAACTAAATGATTTTGTTATTATATAATCATATATTATACGATTTTTCTCGTTCATGTAACAAAATACAAATGGTATTTACGAACAAGGCAGGCTCGAACTGCTTGTAACGATGAAATGTTTGCTGTTGCAGTACCACGAAGTGGCAGTTTTAGTGCAAAGATGAAAAGGAGGATGGCAGTGGCTGTGTCAAGGATGTCATCAACGTTTTCAAGCGGTGAACGACGCATGAGTTTACGTATGTACAGTGTGAACATAGCAATCGATACCATCCCCGTTATGATTCAGTCATGCATATTCAGGAGGCAGCCTCTAGAGAGTTGGTCGAATGGGAATTTTTTGGGGAGGGATAATCTCATTCTGATGAGTTTAAATCCTTTAGCAATTTATCCTAGGAAATCGATATGTGAAGAATAGTTTCAGACTCAAAAATTCTTTTGACCTGAAAAACGTGAATATATAACGTAAATCTATCGAATTTATCCTTTGGTAGATGTTTGCTTAATATCACCTAGCGATATAATTGGGAGATCTAGCGCAATGTGATAGTCTTGACGATAGTTTATGTCTAATTGTCTCTTAATTCAATGTAAAATCACATAAAGCTTTATATTATAAAAACCGATCAAGGAAGAAGCAGAAATGTACATTACCGTCACTGTACCAAATCGGGACAGTACCCAAAACGGGACACTTGTGGGAAAACGGCCTAAGAAACTGTCATTCAATGCAAAGAAGTACTTTTATGTATACAATTTTGATTATACTTTTCATGACAATTAAACTGTATTAAGCTTTATTGGTTGCTGATTACGTTACATGGACACTTTAAAGGTAAGAATAATTACCAAAACTAGACTTTCCTTATTTGGATATCATTTTCAAAAGTCTTTTTTATCAAAACTAAACCTAGTTTGGAATGGAAACGTAATCAGAACCCTGTTTAACTCTTAAATATCTCAACTATGCATATTGTCCGCCGATATTGATCGTTTATTCCCAAATATTCGCCAAAACACAGGAAGTGTCTCTTTCAGGGTACAGTTACGCCGGTTCAAGGGCCTACGTAACTCTGATGGTATTTCGCTTTCCTTTTATAGAATCACGCACCCGAAATATCAACTTGTTATATAAATTTAAAGTGGATAGTATCTGTTTATAAAAAATGAACCAACATTTTTGAAACGGATAGTATGGTATAAAAAACATTGATATTTATCTACAAAGTGTCCCGATTTGGGTACAGTGACGATAAGTAAAGTGTCAGTTTTTCTGCAACCTCCTCTATTAGGACATACCAATGATTTCTATTTATATCCATTAATCGACTATTGCTTAATGTAACAGCGGAGATCCTAAAAACATTTTGGATTAGTTTATTTATTTATTTACTTTTTTTTTTTTTTTTTTGATTAAAGTAAATATCCTGTGTGTTTTATTCTGATCTCCTTGATAGAGCATACCATATAGATAAAGTCAGAGATTTCCTAGATTTTTTTATTCTGCCTTTTAGCACTGTTTGCTTGTTTCATGGTCTATTGTTAATAATATATACTTTCTGGATTTTATTTGTTTCTTTTATCAGATAATAACACTTTTAAGGTTCAAGATCCTAAAATGTCATAAATACTCTTTTAAAAATCTTTACGTTTTGTTTATCCCTAATATTCTTTAAAACCCATACTGTCTTTGGTGGAAATCATTATATTACAAATATTTAAATGACAATGAGACGATAAAGTTTCTTGTTGTTTTCAGTATATATTCTTCACCCCCATACTTACAGGGAGCATTACTTTTCAGAAAAATCATTCTCTGTTTTTGCACGTCCCTTCTAACGACAAATAGTCCATTCCGTTTTTCGTAGAGATCATTACAGCTCAAACAGTCCATATTGACTTATGTAAAATGTCCTATGACAAACAGTCCATATTGACTTATGTAAAATGTCATATGACAAAAAGTCCATATTGACTTATGTAAAATGGCATATGACAAAAAGTCCTTATTGACTTAAATGTAAAATGTCATATGACAAACAGTTCATATTGACTTATGTAAAATGTCATATGACAAACAGTCCATATTGACTTATGTAAAATGTCATATGACAAAAAGTCCATATTGCTTGTGAAAATTGTCCAGTAATAAATAGTCCATATTGATGCTTTTGAATATTGTCGAATGACAAAAGGTCCATATTGACTCTTGTAAATAATTATTGTTCAATAACAAATAGTCTATATTGACTCTTATAAAAAAGTCCTAAGACAAATATTCCTTATTGATTCTTGTGGAAACTGTCTTATGACAAATAGCTCATATTGATTATTGTAACAATTGTGGTTTCTTTGTAAAAATTGTCCAATGAAAATAGTCCATTTTGATTCTTGTAAAAATTGTCCAAAGAGTCAATTATATATAGCAAATGATTCCTATTGTTTCTTGTCAGTCTTCGACGCGCATGTGCTCTGTTATTTTTTGTTTTCTGGTCTATTGTCATCAAATGTCCTTATTGCAATTTATATGTTTATAGAGGAGGATAAGATAGCAACCATGGGTACACCCAGCCCCGATGCCATGCTGGATTATCTAGTGCCCCCCATTCCCATATCGCCGAGACACTCGGATGAGCTGTCCAAAGGTATACACAATGAACAGATTTTACAGAATTTCTTCTTCTTTCCTGTCACCTTTTGTATTATCAATACGTTGTAACTGGTCTGATTTACTGCAGTAAATAGAAATTTTACACGTAAGATGTCTATTCGATAGAGTACGACAGTGACGTGTATATAACATATTACGATGTTTCCATTTATTCTGTCGGTGTCTTGATAAATAGTAAATAAATAGTCTTTAGTAGAATTAATATAGCTTAAGCCTGAATGCTATTATAATAGGGTATTTTTCAACGATATCAATATAGACCATAGATAATTTAGATTGAACGTTCTTTGCAGATTAATAAAATGGGATCAGTGAGACATTTAAAATTCTTTTATGATTTGTTTTACCATCATAATATATTTAGCATATAAGTTAGTCCTGTTGGCCTGAATGCAAGCACGCGGAGGTGTTAGTGACGGAGGAAACTTGGTAAACTTGAGCGAGAACGAGCGTGGTCGGATCGGTGATCCGATTAATGTTCATGTCCGATCGGGGAATCGAACCGGGGCCATCTTGATGAAAGGCTATCCACTGCACTTTTCGACCAACCTTAAATTATTTCAAAACAATAAAATAGCATGTTCGAACTGTTTTAGGAACTCCTTTAAAATAACAAACTCCCTCAAACTTTATTAATATCATATGCGTCGCAAAAAAATGGCATTCGAATCCGCCTTATTGGCCTCAATTGATCGGAGTATCAGCAAATCAAAAACTACAGTTGCCATCTCGAACGGATAGCTGTCGTTTAATTGTGAAACAGGCTTCGATCGTTAAAATATCTACGACATTGTCCATGACCAATCTTCAAATGCAGTAAAAAAAAAAATAGGTCATTTTGACATCTTTGAATATTTGTTTTTTAAAAGATCTAATTGAATCATTTATTTCTAGATACGTCGTTTAGTGCATTATGAAGTTCATATGCATATATATTGTATACAATGGTGTCGACATCGGTTTCCACAATACTACCTCTTTGAAATATGCTTTTATAAAAGGAAGTCTTCAAAATATTTCAAACATCATTAAAAATGTGTTTTAGATGAGATTTGAGATGTGCTTTATTGTAAGCAGTTGAAAATACTGTTTTTAAATTAGGTATTAAGATTTGTTTCTTTCCTTATTTTAATGTTTCGTGTAGGATATTATCTTGAATTTCAGTTAATATATACTGGGACCAAAATGTTTAACTAATCTTGTCGCTTGGTTGTTTTTCAATTAACACTTAATTGGTTAGCATATATTATCACTATTAGGTCAGCTACCCACAGATGACCTTTAAACATCAATCGTTTGACGTAAGGTAAAGGTATTTTTTTAACTCTGATAAAGTATAAACAAAGTCGGGCAAATAGCACTTGAGTTATAACTGTTATTATCTCAGTCAATCACAGACTACATTGGTCATCTCAAATTCCTAAACTTAAAAGTCGTTCGACATAAAGCATGTGCATATGTATCACTCACAAGAAGTATGAAAGAAAACACGAATATGGACTGTATCATGTCAGACAATAAGGCGGCAGGCCACCTAGCGAAAATGTCCTATTTCGTTCCCTGCTAGAGAGCTTCACAAAGAATTTACCAGTAGTTTAACACGTATTTCATGTCAAAGACCAACTGTGCTATAAACTGGGTATTGGTGGAAAGCTCTTGACGTTATATTTCAATTTTTGGTTCGTTTTCGAAATTGATGGGCGCGTTATTGAAAATCCGACTTTTAGTATCCTGTTTCCTGTTCGAGGTTAAGTATCTTTTCATGGACTTGATGATTTTATTTGAAAATGTATTCGGTGCAAAAAATACAAACATTATACACAATATCTGATATGGGAAAACATAAATATAATATGTTCCTGCTAACCGTGAAATCAAACGGGTAATCAGGAGTTATTGAAGCGGTTATTCTATTGGAGCAAATAAAAAGCATATGCTTTAAAACTGTACGTGATTTGTCACCTTGTAGTACAATTACACGTTTTATAGATTTTTTGATGGAACTGTGAACACCGTTAGAGGATAAAGAACTCGAAGCAAGTAATAATAAGACCCCTGTTGATAAAAGGTTGGCGAACTTCGACCTGTGAATAGTGAATAAATCGAATGGTTGCCACTAAACATCAAAGAAGATCAAAGCAAGTTTATAGCAGTGAAATGATGTTATATGTTCTTGATTTTTCAAACTTCCTTTACCATTGGTTAACTCTGACCAACCTTTGAGCAACTACAGTCATGTGTCCAGCGATCAAGCGTAATTATCTAGGTCAGCGCCACTGTTTTCCTAGTTTTTCACTCTTGCATATAATATAGGGGTATTTTTCACTTCGTAAATTAGAACTAAATCATTCTATTCTTTTCAGGACAACTTTCAGATATCAGCAACAGCGCGCGTTCATGTAGTGAAACAGGAGCAAGCATGTATGACAACAACTCAGATATTGACGAAAGGAGAAAAAGGTATGCTTTACAATGAATCTAATATTTGATGCACTTAATTATACAAATAAACTTTTTGATATGCTTGTTTGTCTTTTTAAAAGAAAGACAAAGAGAAAGTCAGTGGTTGATAACAAATTATGATGTTACAGATTTGGGTCGACCTCTCCAGATCGGCCAGCTCCAGACGGAGATGATATTACTTCAATGCTTGGTCCAGCTCAAGTACCACCCAAACCATCATCAGGTAAATTACCTTAGGTACCAGATGTAACAATGACGATTATCCCGAACAAGAACATACTTCATACATATCAAAAAAAAAACATAACTGTATATAATATTCGACTCCGTGAAAGGAATTTGGTAGTCAAGTGAATTGAAGTAAGATTTTCACTCGTCCGTTCAAAAAAACCACCCAGTTGATGCTGTAGCCAGGTTTTGCCGAAAATGTGAGCGTGGGACAGGTAAAATTATGTGAGGATTGTTAATGATTCATTTTGTGTGTTAATAGCAAGCATGATATCTTACATGTCGGTTCATTGGGGTCCGACACTTGAGTGAAGCCAAAATAGAAAACCCAAAATTAAGGAATTTAAATTATTTGGATAGTTTATGCAAAGGTTTGCCATGTGATTTCCATGTATGCTAGCATGCGGAACTTTTATATTTAGATTCAATGAGAGCCTACTTAAAGTGGTGTAAGCGGTTATGTAACAAAAGAAGGATGAATAATAAGCGAATTTAAGTATTTTTGACAACATTTGTGGTTAAGAATATTTCAGTTTTAGTAATTATCATGTAATGCACATATTCTTGCAGACAAATTGTCCATTTATCTTCGACAAATATGCATTTGGTTTCTATCAATGTCTCCTCTGTAAGTCGAATGTATTTGCAGAGCAATCGGTGTGTGGAGATGTCCGGCTCGGCCTAATGGTGACCCAGGGTAAACTGGAAATCGACATCATCTGTGTGACAGGACTTCTCCGAGACAGTGAAAATGCACCTCCAGGTAGAGTGTCCTTTATGGTACTTATGCGGTATAAATGTCGTTATACTTGTACTTTACACCAACGGTGACCATTACACTTGCACTTTACAGCAACGTTGATGATAACACTTGCACTTTACACCAACGGTGACATTTACACTTGTACTTTAAACCAACGGTGACAATTACACTTGTACATTATACCAACAGTGACAATTACACTTGCACTTTACACCAACGGTGACAATTACACTTGTACATTACACCAACAGTGACAATTACACTTGTACTTTACACCAACGGTGACAATTAAACTTGTACTTTACACCAACGGTGACAATTACACGTGTACTTTACACCAACGGTGACATTTACACTTGTACTTTACACCAACGGTGACAATTAAACTTGTACTTTACACCAACGGTGACAATAACACTTGCACTTTACAGCAACGTTGATGATACCACTTGTACTTTACAGCAACGGTGATAATTACACTTGCACTTTACAACAACGGTGATGGTAACACTTGTACTTTACAGCAACGGTGACCATTACACTTGCACTTTACACCAACGGTGATAATTACACTTGTACTTTACACCAACGGTGATAATTAAACTTGTACTTTACAGCAACGTTGATGATACCACTTGTACTTTACAGCAACGGTGATAATTACACTTGCACTTTACAACAACGGTGATGGTAACACTTGTACTTTACAGCAACGGTGACAATTACACTTGCACTTTACAGCAACGTTGATGATACCACTTGTACTTTACACCAACGGTGATAATTACACTTGTACTTTACAGCAACGTTGAAGATACCACTTTTACTTTACAGCAACGGTGATAATTACACTTGCACTTTACAGCAACGGTGACAATTACACTTGTACTTTACAGCAACGTCGATGATAAAACTTGTACTTTACAGGAACGGTGATAATTACACTTGTACTTTACAGCAACGGTGATGATAACACTTGTACTTTACAGCAACGTTGTTGATAACACTTGTACTTTACAGCAACGGTGATAATTCGCTTGCACCTTACAGCAACGGTGACAATTACACTTGTACTTTACACCAACGGTGACAATTACACGTGTACTTTACAGCAACGGTGACAATTACACTTGTACTTTACAGCAACGTCGATGATAACACTTGTTCTTTACAGCAACGGTGATAATTACACTTGTACTTAACAGCAACGGTGATGATAACACGTGTACTTTACAGCAACGTTGTTGATAACGATTGTACTTTACGGCAACGTTGTTGATAACACTTGTACTTTACAGCAACGGTGATAATTCGCTTGCACCTTACAGCAACGGTGACAATTACACTTGTACTTAACAGCATGACAATTAAACTTGTACTTTACAGCAACGGTGACAATTTCACTTGTACTTTACAGCAACGGTGACAATTACACTTGCACTTTACACCGACGGTGACAATTACACTTGTACTTTACAGCCACGGTGGCAATTACACTTGTACTTTACAGCAGCGGTGACGATTACACTTGTACTTTACAGCAACGGTGGCAATTACACTTGTACTTTACAGCAACGGTGGCAATTACACTTGTCCTTTACAGCAACGGTGACAATTACACTTGTACTAAACAGCAACGGTGATGATAACACGTGTACTTTACAGCAACGTTGTTGATAGCGATTGTACTTTACGGCAACGTTGTTGATAACGCTTGTACTTTACAGCAACGGTGATAATTACACTTGTACCTTACAGCAACGGTGACAATTACACTTGTACTTAACAGCATGACAATTAAACTTGTACTTTACAGCAACGGTGACAATTTCACTTGTACTTTACAGCAACGGTGACAATTACACTTGTACTTTACTCCAACGGTGACAATTACACGTGTACTTTACAGCAACGTTTATGATACCACTTGTACTTTACAGCAACGGTGATAATAACACGTGTACTTTACAGCAACGTTGTTGATAGCGATTGTACTTTACGGCAACGTTGTTGATAACTCTTGTACTTTACAGCAACGGTGATAATTACACTCGTACCTTACAGCAACGGTGACAATTACACTTGTACTTAACAGCAACGGTGATGATAACACTTGTACTTTACAGCAACGTTGTTGATAACACTTGTACTTTACACCAACGATGACAATTACACTGGTACTTTACACCAGCGGTGACAATTACACTTGTACTTTACAGCAACGGTGAAAATTACACTTGTACTTTACAGCAACGGTGGCAATTACACTTGTCCTTTACAGCAACGGTGACAATTACACTTGTACTAAACAGCAACGGTGATGATAACACGTGTACTTTACAGCAACGTTGTTGATAATGATTGTACTTTACGGCAACGTTGTTGATAACTCTTGTACTTTACAGCAACGGTGATAATTACACTTGTACCTTACAGCAACGGTGACAATTGCACTTGTACTTTACAGCAACGTCGATGATAAAACTTGTACTTTACAGGAACGGTGATAATTACACTTGTACTTTACAGCAACGGTGACAATTTCACTTGTACTTTACAGCAACGGTGACAATTTCACTTGTACTTTACAGCAACGGTGACAATTTCACTTGTACTTTACAGCAACGGTGACAATTTCACTTGTACTTTACAGCAACGGTGACAATTTCACTTGTACTTTACAGCAACGGTGACAATTACACTTGCACTTTACAGCAACGGTGACAATTACACTTGTACTTTACTCCAACGGTGACAATTACACGTGTACTTTACAGCAACGTTTATGATACCACTTGTACTTTACAGCAACGGTGATAATTACACTTGTACCTTTCAGCAACGGTGACAATTACACTTGTACTTTACAGCAACGGTGACAATTACACTTGCACTTTACACCAACGGTGACAATTACACTTGTACTTTACAGCAACGTTTATGATACCACTTGTACTTTACAGCAACGGTGAAATGTATAAGGAATGAGTCATTATTCAAACTTATATAAAATACTCTGCCATGCTGTATGCAAAATAAGATACTGTAATAGATTTGGCAAATTTGTGGCAAAAAGAGAAGAAATATTCTTGTGGAGGTGAAATTACGCTTTTGAGAATGTAAGGAAAGTGCATAGCGTACTTGAATAAGTATTCGCTATCTTGTTGAAACATGATTTAAAAAAAAACACAAATAGTAATCGTGTATATTGCAACACATCTAAACTGTATACCAACACAATTTAAATAACCCTATATACAATATAACATCTTAATTCAATTTCTTTACAGTTTAACATCTAAAAATTATCATGTGTGAGTATTACATGTAAAAAAAACTGTGTACAGTATTATATATAACATGGGCCTGTGTACAGTATATCTGAATTATCGTTTCCAGATACGTATGTAAAGACTTATCTCGTAGAGGGATCAAAGGTCATTCAAAAGAAGAAAACCTCTACGGTTAAAGCGTCATATGAACCGACATTTCATCGAAAAATCAAATATTCTGCTTGTAATATCCATGGAAGACATATAAAGGTACGAAGTCTTCGTTGATACATACTAGTAACTGTGTGTAGGATCCTGTACTTTTTGTCGATTTTTAATACATAGTAAATATTTAACATGTGCTTTTAATAAAAAGCGCTGTATCAATGAAAACATTTTATCCTTATAACTATAAAGTTTAATTGTTAATATGCTCATATAATTTTAATATCAGCTAACGCACTATAGTATAACCTGTCTAAACCGGCCCTTGTCTAATCCGGATCCCTGTCTTAACCGGCTGAAATTTGTGGTCCCGGCATATTCCCTATATAATCAAAGTAGTTAAACCCTGTATAAACCGGACCTTGTCCATTCCGAAAACCGGCGTAATTTCACAAAAGATGGCATAGTAATCCATGTAAAAACAACCAGTTCATTCCGGTCCTGAATTTTTTAAATCTAAAGCAAACACATTCTAAACAAATTAGCGCTATCCAATGTTGGGTCGCCCTTCATTTGTATTATATATTGTGTATATTGTTAATAATTGAACTTTGCAATTGATTAATTTCTCTGTTGTTTATGTTTACACACTTGTATAAAGATCGTATGCAAAACACTACATTTTTGTATTTAAAAAAAAGACATGCCGACCCTGTATAAACCGGACACCTGTGTTAACCGGACAAATAGTTTGGTCCCGGTGACATCCGGTTTAGACAGGTTATACTGTATTTCCACGCTGTTTGATTTAAAAAAAAAAGGATATGTCGTTTTGATTTGATTGTCTTTAAAAACAACGAATGTGAACTCATAAGATTATTGTATTTCCTGTATAGGTGAAGATTTGGGCAAGACAAGGTGCTTTTGATAAGAAGTTGTGTCTTGGAGAGACTGTGATCAAGCTGGACGGACTGGACCTCAGTCAACATACACACACCCTAAGTTGGTACAAGCTGTTTCCTCAGGGAGCCACAGACTTCAGTTCTAACGAATCTCTCAGTTTTTGATCGAAAAATTAGCAATTTACTCTATTTTTCTCTACAATATATTTTTCATTCACATTATATTTTTAACTACTTCCCACATTTATATCGTTGGTGCATTTGAATCGTTGTGTATAGTGCTTAGTGGTTAAAGTATTTGCCTAATTAAATGGTATTGCAGACCACCCTAACACAATGGACTGAGGTACCGGGAACTTGAATTGATATGCTTACATGTTTATTAAGCGTTTTTACTGTTAAATTTCTTTATATTAGCCTAATTATTCGGATATATATATATTATATATTGTTCTAAGCTAAACACACGGAGAAACATTTATATGTCATACTTTAGATTTATTTATTTATCTTAGCCAAACATTTGAATCACCTGAAGAGCCCCAAGATGAGGGAAAGAACGGTATTTGTTTTACTGCTGTCACTTTTCTTTCTATATAATTATTAAAATACAAATCACTTTAAATGGCTCAACACTATTTACGTGTTAAAACTCATAATTTGTTCAAATGGCGTTGAAGAATGAATTCTGTCTCAAGTCAGTGCTAGTCTTTAAGTTGTTAAAGTAATGGATTCAAAACGGACACGTGTACCTAAAGTTCAAAATGGACACGTGTACCTAAAGTTCAAAATGGACACGTGTACCTAAAATTCAAAACGGACATGTGTACCTAAAATTCAAAACGGACACGTGTATCTAAAGTTCAAAACGGACACGTGTACCTAAAATTCAAAACGGACACGTGTACCTAAAGTTCTAAATCCATTACCCGTTATACCAGATGTCAGTCTATAAGGTGAACTGCATAATAAAACTGGTAATTTGTAACAGCATTGCTGAAACAGAATTTAGTAATATCCGATTTTTTTACGTGTGTTCATTTCATCACATGTTATTGAGTAAAAAATAGGATTGAACAGCAGGTTAGGCCTATATAAGTTCTCTCCTTAGGTTGACATGACAAAAACAAAGATGAAACGGTTAGTAAGAAAATATTGATGCAAATTATATATTATATACCAGATGGTATAGGGGAGATAAATCCATGTATATTTCAATTATATATAAATATTTAATTGATATTTTGAGCTATACAATGCTCTTATTAAAAAGTCAATCAGAATTAATTAGTAATAGGCAAGCAATGTCCTAATGATATATTAAACAGAGAAATTGCTACAATTAGTAATATCCGATGTTCCCGATGCACTACCGGTTAATAACGTTTGCGCCATCTTAAGATGAGTAAGATCATAGAAATTGATCCTCTTAGTATCCAATACAGACAGATCAGAAAGGAATGCGTGAATGTTGAGGGAGAATTGATATTTCGTCAATACCAATGTATGATCTAGTATTTTATTTTATTTTGATTTTACTCCTATTTCCAACTATATGGTATTAAGAATTGTACCATAGTGGCTGATGTTTATGATTGTATTGAAAAATATACCGTTGCATTTATATGTTCTCATTAGCTATTATAATGAGATAGAGAGTAGGTGAGAACTGCCAACAGAAAGGTGCTAACTTGTATCCTAGGTAACGGAGGTTGATGGAAAGTACAACGCTGGTCGTTAAGGCTTCCATTGATATCAATAGTTACAGTTGAAGAAGAAATATACGCGGTGTGGAAATGCGCATTTTTTCTTCGCGTGGAGTAAATTAGCAAGAAAATATGTATCCGCGAATATTTATTTATACATTATTGAGATATATCGATTTTAGAACCCTTTTCAATCAGTTTTAACAGTCACAACGCGAAAATGTCCATACCGCGATCAATTTTAACTGTCACAACGCGAAAATGGCCATACCCCGATCAGTTTCAACCGTCACAACGCGAATATTTCCATACCGCGATCAGTATTAACTGTCATAACGCGTACATTTCCAGATCGCTATCAGTTTTAACTGTCATAACGCGAACCTTTCCATATCGCGATCAGTTTTAACTGTCAAAACGCGAGAATTTCCACTTTTGCAGTAAATGGATCAAGCGTTATGTGATGTAGGTAGTATTGATTTTATAACAATGGTTAACCTGTTGCTTTCTGCTCATAACAGATGTAAATGGATTTGTATTTTCTATGAAAGCGTTTTGTATAATATTTTATAAGTCGTTTAAAAAAGAAACTGATTAGATGTATAATGGAGAATATACCTAGCATTTAACATGTGTATGCTATCAGCATGGAAGGTATACAATTTGTTTTCATGGTTTATCTAAAAGATAACAAAAGTGATCTTAAAGTGATTTCTAAAAGATGGATCCTGCTTCTATAAAGTGGTATATTTTCATGCACTTCTATACAATTGGTTTTCCCACTAGGTGGCTCTGTGTTATTCTATTTTGTTGATAATTGTTACGAATTAAATTAAATTGAAATAAGTTTCAAATTTAATTCCTTAACGAATCGAAACATGGAAAAGATCTGCTAAAACGGCGTGTAAATTCTGCGTAAAATAACGCTGAGTTTTCCCATTGCTAATCATGTACCGAAGCCTTCTGGGACATATTAAGACAGCACCTTCCTAATGAATACATTGTTACATCACAGAGAGATACCCGACGGTACTTCCGTTTTGATTTACAAACTTCGTAGGAGCTACTGCTCTTTTTGATGTGTTGATTATTTATTCATTCTAGAATAACTTTGCAATTTATCATTATCCGTTATATATTTATATATATCAATATTAATCCCCATTTTAAACGTGTTCATTTGCCAAAACAAAATTTCATTGTTATGAAGATAAAACATTTCACCAGAAAAATGCAGCAAACTCGAGAAGAACGTCATATTGGTGAATAGAAAAATTTCGCAGTCGATTTCCAAAAAAGCTCGCCGTTCGCTACCAACAGCTGAAAGCTGAATGAAAGGCTTTTAGTTTATGAAGTTTTACAATTTACAAATGGTAAGAGCCGGACTTGTAGATCGGTGTTTAGTGTTTCGAAATACCAGAACAGCTCATAAATGCTACATGTATATGGGTATAGGTTGATGGTATATTTGAAAATACAAAAAAAGGTTTTTTTATGTCTCCGATTGTGTTCCTGTGTATGACAGTACATGTATGATCAATTTTATATGTCTCTGACATTGTATATTTTAGTATTTTTTTCAGGCTGATGAGAAGTATCAATCACTGTTGTGCAAAAGAAATAAGATACATTTTGATATTTTCAGTTTGCTAATATGTAATTTTGATTAAGTTTGATTAATATTTTGATGTAATAAAATCGTGGAATATCTAAACAAAGTTGTTTTGTTCATATATAATGAGTAGGACTGCCATATATAAAATTAATCATGTAAATAAATAGGACCACGAAAATGAGGAAAACGTTTATTCCAACTTGAATAGATCATAACAAAAATAATATATATGATTTTATCACGTACTGTGTTATATGACCTATCAGCCCTGTGATTGGTTGTAAGTTTCAATTGTGGCGTCACGCCTAGGACAAGTACATGATGGCATGAAGTCAAAATGGCGGCTTTTTACATTTCAGGGTTGCAATGAAAATTGTCGTTTTACACGAATAAATGCCACAAATCTTGAGTATGTGATAAAAAGGATCTTTCGCGCGTTTTCGTTTCATATGAAATGGAAACTCATGCAAGATCCTATAGTTATTACAATTAAGAAGGGTTTTACAAATCACTATGGATTTCCTTTTTCCGGGGAGTGGGTCAGATCACGGAATTAGATTAGAAGTCCGTGGTCAGATCAACTGTACTTTAAAACAGTCGGCAAGTATCTTAAGAAGCAGCATCAGTAGAACAATAATAGTATAGTTACGGATATGTTCTTGTTGTTTATAAATAGGTCCTTTTTAAGTTGGAATATTGTAATAGGACTACGGCTACATATAGTTTTCGTGGGTCGATATTCCTTTGTCTATGTATACGTATTCTCGGTGATATTTAGCTAACACAAAATAAGCAAATAACCCCGTTTTAGTAATTCCATTTTACGGTATCTAAAAAGCAAACCCACTGACCAGCAACACTTCCTTGCTATCATTTCATACTATAGTTATACTTCAAAATAATAACCATTGTCAGCATATCAGTAGGATTGTGATGTCAGTATCATGTCCCAAACAATCTAATAAGTCAGGTAATACATATTTTATTATAGAGTAACAACCGAAACGTTACACTCAAAGGGACCAGTAATGGAATCCATTAAAACCAAAGAATTACATGTGATGTATATCAACATGTTATAGAGTTTATGCATACAATTTCGTGAAACCATGTCGACGGAAATCAAAATACCATGTATATCAATGTATTTAAATGATTGTTTAACAACATTAAAATTACAAGCATTAAGAAAGACCTTTTAGTAAATGTTTGTCTATATCTTCAATAATTAATTTACATTATAACTAACTGACAATCTATCGCAATCCCATTGGTCAGATCCTACATATCTCAAAAGCTTGTTTAAACCGGTTTTCCGGTGAATATAAATCTCTAAAGATAGCAATGAAGGTAAACTTACTCATTTGACTTATAAGGTTTATTTGAAAAGTACTACTGCGAAAGGCTAATTGGGGCTATCTTTTCACACAACAATAAATTGTAATGCCCAGCAGCAGTGTTATGCTAAGCCGAGTACTAAAAATATGTAAAAAAAAAATGGCATCCAAAAAATTAAATTAAGAACTTTTCAGTTTTGTTCTTAAACTTTTCTATGATATAACGGATAAGGGTCAAGGTGCATTTGTTTTGTTTTATAAACCTGAGACAGTATTACTGACTTCAGCCTCTTTCTCTTTTTTGGGTTTATATCACATCATATTTACTTTCACAAAAGTCCATAATTGTATATTAAACACTTTAAATGATTGTCTCTCGCCCATGAGAAACCCATAAAAATGACTTCCTGATGGTTTGCCAATGTGAAAACGATACAGGCAAATTAGTGGAATGTATATCCCCCGCTTTCAGGACATGTATTAGATTAAATCTATTGTAACCTCATTAATTGTGTGTAAATCTGCACGGATCTCACTCGACCTCCGCCTGAGACACGTCAACATGTATGACCCATTATTAGTGCAGTTATTGAACGGAAACCAATAAGCAAATCATGCGTTTATAACCTCATTAAGTGCACGACCATACCCAGCAGGAGACGTGTCAACATGTAAAATTGACTATCTTATATCTGGCCCATGTTAAAATTACAACATGAACTTTCTAATGGCTTGATCAGGTGAAAACGGTATCATTGTCCACCTGTTTGCTTGATCACGTGAAAACTGTATCATTGTCCACATGATTGCTTGGTCACGTGGAAACGGTATCAATGTCCTGCTTGCTTGCTTAGGTGAAAACGGTATCAGCGTCCACCTGATTGCTTTGCGCATGTGAAAACTGTATCATTGTCCACCTGCTTGCTTAGGTGAAAATGGTAGCAATGTCCACCTGCTTGCTAGCCCACATGAAAACGGTATCAGTGTCCACTTGATTGCTTTGCTTATGTGAAACATATCATTGTCTTTCTGATTGCTTGCCCACGTGAAAACGAAATCATTGTCTTTCTGATTGCTAGCCCACGTGAAAACGGTATCAGTGTCCAAATGATATTTTTGCTTATTTGAAAACTGTATCATTGTCCACCTGCTTGCTTGCTTGCTTGCTTACGTGAAAACGATGTCCTCCTGATTGCTTGCATATGTGAAACGTATCATTGTCTTTCTGATTGCTTGCCCACGTGGAAACGAAATCATTGTCTTTCTGATTGCTTGCCGACGTGAAACGTGAAACGGTATCATTGGCCTCCTTATACTTCATAATCACTAGTCAGTTATTCGTTTGATCCTTACAACAGCAACCAATGTGTCAATTTCGATCTGAAAAACTTTTACACCTTACTGCGACACATGTCTTTCAGACATGAAATGCAATTTCAACTTACTTAACATATTGATGATACAATTGAAAGG